TTGACATTAGCTGCTATGTTCGGAGAACATTGTGCTCTTGTCAACTAGATGAATAATGCACGTTTTTTTAAGATCTCTGGAGAAGTATGCAATTGTGCCACAAAAACTGCTTTGCTTTTTATTGCGTAGTAGGTGACACGTAATTCGAACACAAGATAAGCGAATTATTTATGAAAGAGGAAAGTATGTTCCTTGTGATTTAAGATACTGATCGTAAATTGCTCGTGTTTTTGTAAACAAGATTTGTACAGAGATAAAATCGTATTTTATTACCAACACTAATCTGTAATCGCTGATAAATTGGGCAATCGATAAGTGGCTATAATGAGCTTCAAACTTTGATTATTGTATTGGCATCCTATAGGTAACTACCGTCTTTCTTTTTGGTCAGAGCCAAATAACATTTTCCAAATTGTCATAGGAACTCAACTTACAAGCACCAAGAATATGTTTTCGGAAATTTATGGAATACGCACATTTTCGGCATATGTCAATAAAACACGCGCAAATGCAGTTCACGCCAGCATTACTTTATCGGTACATCTCGAATCGTTTGTTTTACGTATCAATTACCTATTACGAGTAATTGCCTACTGACAAGGAAATTCTCCAGATATCTGTTATGAAGTTCACTCATCACAGTAAAGGGTCCGGTAGAAGATTTTCTTTTTCCTACTTGTTTAAATAGCAAAGAGACAAAAATCATCAAGTTTTCCAATGCGAAGGACGTCGTTTTTTAAATTTTTTGAGCATCTTCTTCAAAAATTAAATAAAACGATTAGTGGAACCTTCAACTTCAACGCTTCTAGAAACAATATAGACCGGGAGATGGTGACACTTTTTGTGGTGTGATTTGCTACAAGTATGGCGACCATTCAAAGGTTTAATTAAGTACTCCTCAATACGAAAATGGTGCTAACTCTCTGGGAGTGGGGCCGTTATTGCGTGACGATTGTTTAAACATGTCGGAAAATTTAATGATTTTGAACAATTTGCTACACAAAATTCTTTGGATTTTCTGGTAGTCGGTAACAAAATAAATGACGGAAACGAAATGCCATACTTTTCCGGTGGGCCTTATAGCCCGCCATACTCATTTGAACGTGTCGATTGTTTGTTTTTTTTTTGGGGTGATTTGCTACAAGCTCATTTTTTTATGAGCATCAAGTCCTCAACCAGTCATGCACGAAAATCAACCTGCCATACCGCAGCGACGGGCCCGCATAGCCGCCATACCGGCACAAAGATGTCATTTTTGTTAATAATTTTGGGCGATTTGCTACAGTATGGCATTTGGATTTTCCGAAAGTTCATGCTCCACATTGACCCATGATATATGTGCCATACTCGTCATGAAGGCTAAAGATGGCGCCATACTCGAAAATCTGTTTTCCTAAAACATCTTTGTGCTATAACTCGAATAAGCAAGGAACCTTGAAAACGATCTTCTCCCGAATTTCAGAAAAATGCTTTTATTATTAAAAATTGGTAAAACAATCCAGTCTGTCCGTCTGTCCGTCTGTCCGTTACAAACGATATCCCGAAAACGAGTGGATGAAGGTATTTAAAAATAAAATTTGTACGTAGGCACTTGGGATAAAAGCAAATCTAACGCCAGTTTCAAAATTTGGTTTTGCGCATGCGCAGTGCCAACTTTCTCATTTATGTAGGGATTCAAATTAAATTAGATACATACGGTCTATTCAGTATATCTTCCGTTGCACGTCATTACCTGAAGAAAACGACGTACCAACGTAAACTTACTTTCGTTTATTAGGCAACACATTAAGCTTGTAGTTTATTTTGGCCGCAACAATTGGTAGCATTTCGCTATGTTGTCGCGTTTAAATTTGTAAATTTGACAGGTTGCTTTTGGTTCACTTTTCGTTTGATCTGATTTTGATTATTTTCTACGTCTTTCGCTGTGCATTGGTTTGAAGAGAAATTACTGAAGAATTTAGATAACCCGTCAGTAATTGTGTTCGATAACGGGAAAACAGACAACATTAAAGTGTGGTTAGGTGATCATAATGTGCAGTTCTCCGAAAATGATTTTAAAGCCGAACTGTTGAAAAGGTTGCACAGTAAGTACGTTCGCAAATTATTTGGTATTATCTAAATCTTGTTGATACTTTTAGGAATAAATCAGCTAAAATGTACCGCATAACGCATTGACCACTTAGCCGAGCAATACGGTTACTTCGTTTTACGATTACCACCCTATCATCGCGTTTTTAATCCTATCGAACATATTTGGGGCATAGCGAAAAATTACTACAATCGACACATGGGTAGAGATGGACGAAGCATTGAAAATTGCATAAACATGTGACAAGAAACACTACAACGATAACTTCCGAAACGTGGCGCAATTCAGTTAAGGATACGGAAACTGTAATACACGAGTGGTACGAAAGAGAAAAGCAATTAGATCTTGAAAACGTTGCTACTATTATTATAAACTTTGAACACGAAAGCAGTTCCGATGATTCCGATTAATTTTAATATCATCCATCATGCATCCATCACATCACATAACCTGTAAAATTTTATATTTAGTACTTTCTCTGTAAAAGAGATGTTACATTTGTACAGTTCATAAGTTATTTATTAAAGTATATTGTATGTATATTGTGGTTCCAATTAACGAAATGAATAATAAAAATTATTTTTATTTTATTTAAGGTGTGGATTGTTCACACAAAGAATGCACTGTCTTGTTGACAAGTGACATAACCTAAATCGCTCAAAACTAGATTTGGCATTATCGCATAGTAATTACGTCACAGAAAATGATGACGTGCAACGGAAGTTATACGGAATAAAGTGTATATGCACTTAGAATAAATGAAAATGTAACAACAGGTGCAAAATTTAGTTTTGCACATGCTATAGCCATACCCAGGAGTTCGTTTGCTATATTTGTTTAAACATTTACTTATTATTATTTTTATTAATTGATCAAAGTACACTGGGTGTTCAGATACTTATGGCGGGTAGTATAAACTTAACGGCAGCTGCTACCTACTACTTCCGATCCATTGAATGCAATGCAGAACACAACGACCCCGACCGGGACCTCTACAACTTGACTAAGAGGTTCGAGTGGGGCGGAGAATATTAAGCGACATAATATCTCGTGATAAAACAAGATTGGCTTTACTTTAATTACACCTCAAACTGTCACGAAAAATTGGTGCCATACTGTAGAAAATCGCCCAAATTTTCCAAAAATTTTTACATTTTTGAAAAAATATTATACATAATTGGCGCATGCCACAGGTATGGCGTATCGAAATTTCTATTTCTGACTATAAAAATAACTGGTGGAAAAATTTATAGGGTGTAGAAAATCGCCCAAAATTATTAACAAAAATGACATCTTTGTGCCGGTATGGCGGCTATGCGGGCCCGTCGCTGCGGTATGGCAGGTTGATTTTCGTGAATGACTGGATTGAGGACTTGATGCTCATAAAAAAATGAGCTTGTAGCAAATCACCCAAAAAAAAACAAACAATCGACACGTTCAAATGAGTATGGCGGGCTATAAGGCCCACCGGAAAAGTATGGCATTTCGTTTCCGTCATTTATTTTGTCACCGACTACCAGAAAATCCAAAGAATTTTGTGTAGCAAATTGTCCATAAATCATTAAATTTTCCGACATGTTTAAACAATCGTCACGCAATAACGGCCCCACTCCCAGAGAGTTAGCACCATTTTCGTTTTGAGGAGTACTTAAACCTTTGAATGGTCGCCATACTTGTAGCAAATCACACCACAAAAAGTGTCACCATCTCCCGGTCTAATAGACGGAATGTAAATGTAGTTTCTTCCCACTCACTGTTTTGGATCCAACATGAGTAGTAAAATTAATGCGACAAAGAAGGGGCTATATCTTTATATTTATGCTTTAAAATTACTATTTCAAAAAAATAGTATCAATGCGTTGGGAATAACTTCAAGATATTAGGTACAACACAATTATTAAAGTCCTCGTGTAGCTCGAAGGGATTTCAGCGCATTTTTGTATGGCAGATCAGTATTCTGTTAGTCAGTTTCCCTTTGCCGGTACCCACTTCCAACGTCCCGTTAACCTGCAATTCGCGTTTCAAGTTTTGACTTCACGATCAGTAAGATCTTCAAGTGGATTAGATATAGGAGTTTTATTTTAAGGGAGTTTAAGACTTAAGGATGACCCCTTACTGATGTATATACAGGGTAGAGCTATTTGGTGTACAGAATCTGCAAAGTGTTTAGGTCTTATGTTTGATCAAAAACTTATATGGGACATCCATATTAAAATAAACCCATAAAGAGCGTCTAAAAAAGCGGCAGAGCACCTCGGTGTGACCCCACGGAGTCATTGGATTTGACCCATTTTCAATAGACTTGTTACATGTGGCATAGAAGTCTACTCTACTCTGCAAAGTTTCAACCGAATAGGTTCAGGCGTTTGGCAGGGACAGAGAAGCGTTTCACTTCCGATTTTACCGGATATGGATAGCAACTTTCTTATTTTAAATAGACCACCCTGTATTTTTTTTCGTTTTCGGAACTGGGGCATAATTATTGACTTATGCTCTTTTATGTCACAAACGATGATAGAATGTCGGGTACCTTTGATTCTTATTATTTGTGTTTACCATTTTAACATTTTTAGGCATTGATTAACTCTAACCAGGGCCGGATCTACACCCCTATGGATCCCTCGAAATCGCCGCCTCCCCATAGTGACATTTTGCAAAAGTGGAACACTAATGTTCGCATATGCCTACTCCATGACTGTTATGTGTAGGGTACTGAGGTGTAAGGGTTATAAACAGTGGTCAGGCAATCCAGATTTAGTTGGTGCTTTTGAACTAATTTGTAGGCAAAAATGAGCATGTTTCACTTCTTGCCATGGCAAGAGACGTCATAAAGTGCTACGTATTTTTATTCCGGGCTGAAGAGGATCTGGTAACCTTATACCGATTCTTGTAAGACCATTAAACTATCGAGTTTGCAGTAAACTTCTTTATTTAATACACTTTATTTGTCTGGGGTTACAATTTATTTACCCCATCATATTGTAATCTTCTAAAGAAGGAAGGCAGGTGATGTGCATTATTATTGGTCGGGGGCACCGGCCGGGCAGCACGATACTCCTCCCTTGCGATTGTTGCTACATGCTCCGCTATAACAGAAAACAAAATTTGTTAAACATTATCTAATGTGGCTAATGTGGCTAATTATGTATCTGATTTTCTAACTTCATGCAAATGTTGTGGGTAACAATTAAAAAAATACTTACCTCGCCTTTGAACCATACGGGCATGGGCCTTTTGGAACAAGGCAAATGCAATCATCGCAGTAGACTACCTGAATGGCCACCAATACGAGCACAAGAGTATAAAGAAGGAACTTCATTTTTAAGTTTTTTTTAAGTTTCAGTATTGCTATTGCTTTACTTACTTGTTACTCGTAAATGCCCACCGTTTTATAGTACATTAGACGGCTGTAATTTTATCAATGTGAAGTTTTAGGACACGTTTCATATAATATCCACCAATCACAGTTCAATGCTGGAAACATAACAGTTAACAATATAAACAAGTATCAAGATAGAATAATTTGAGATAGATCTATCAAATATCTACAATCTTGTCTAAAAAGGTATCGAGTATCAACTTCCTGTGTCATCCAGTAAACACTTGAGGTGTTAGCATTGTAATGGTGTTAGTTATCTAATCACAGATAATTTTCCTTTTGCACCGTCGCGTCGTTCATATGGATAAGCAATGGAAAATATCATTTGCGTGGCTTTTTAGCGCACGTTTGCAAATTTATTTGTAGAGTTTAATCTTTGGCAGACCGGCTGGCTGGATGGCAGCAAATGCGGACCCGTAGAAAAACGCTTGTAGGAAGACAAAGAGTGTAAATGTACATACCGGGGCCGTGTAATTAAGAACTTTAGTGATGGAGCTACATGATGTGGGGTCGGTGACATGTGAACGCCATCCCCGAGTACGGGTTTACTATTTGGTGACTGTTTAGTTTTTCTAATCTTCGTCTACAAGAACATCACAAAAAGCGACACATAGCAGATATTAAAAATACAAATTAAAAATGAGGCATTAATAACGAGAATACTAAAACGCAATAGATCAAAGCTTATAGTAGATGTAAGTAATCCATTATCTTCTATTCTATGGCATTATAGCAATCACTATGTCGCGTTATGTAAGTGTCATTGGGTTACACTAGGTTCTGATGTCAAAGATCTAGATATAGACAAAACTAACAATGGTATAAAAATGTATATCCAGTCCTACAAAAAGTAAAAGTAATTTTCAAATCAAATCCACAAATTGGATATTTTTCAAAAAATGGAAATGTAACGCAGTAATAATAATAAAAATAGACTAGGCGATGAAGGAGATGTTACTTTATAATCTTGGAAAAATTTCGACAAATTAAATAACGATAGACTAAGTTATATAGTAGAAAAAAAAAACAAATATATAATGAACAATTTGGTTCAGCAAGGGAGAATCAACGGTATGTTTATAATCCTACCAAAAATATTGTATAGCAATATCCATTAATATTAAAAGGGTATTTGACAATATTTGGTGGCCGTCAATAACAATAAATCTTACAATTCTAGAAAAATTAAAGAACTTCAAAAAAAGTGTTAAAAATGTTAAAAATCTACACATTGAAAATATTTTTGGAAATTACAAAAACTATTCAAAACATTTATATGAGCGTGCAAAAAAGAGTGGAGTTTATAAAGGTACAAAATGAACCTGTATTATTGTACGAATTCGCTGAATAGGAAAATAAAAATGAGAAATGTAAAAAAATGAAATACCCAAAAGGGCATTTTAAAAAGAATGTATAACACATAATATAGGTACAACAGCTACAAACTCTATCACTAAAATAAGGACAGTAAGTAATTATGAAAATGAAAAGAAAAAAACAGATTATGGAGATCCAGCAACAGCTATCAAAATTGACAATCGGATTGAAGAAGATGACAAAATTACAAGAAAAGAACTAAAAAACGAATTTAACTATATTTTTTAGATATTTGGCGAAGGGAATGGGAAGATGCAGATAAAGGAAAAGAAAGATCTCATACATTAAAGATAGACTAAATAGGAAATTTGAGCAACCAAACAGAAGCACACTACAAATTATTATAAATCATGGGTTCTCCAAAAGCAATTATTTTGAAATTGGGAAAAGTTGAACACAACATTGCGATTGTGGAAACGACATTGAAAATGGAGAACATTTAGTATATGAAATTCTGGCTCTAGTTTTAGAATCCAGATCAACCTAACCGAAAAATCAACATTAGAAAATAAAAACATTCGCCATCTGTGGCGCAACACAAAAACATACATTGAGCAAAATTGCAAATAAAAACTTAAGATCAATTTTCAGGGACGTCCGCGAAGAAATTAGGGACGGACAACGAAGTCTAGATAACTCTTAACTAGAAGGAAAATCCTAGATGGAAATACAAAAGAATACAAACGGGAATAAATAGGGGTTATGCAGGATTGCACGCAGAACCTACAAAAATAACAAACTATTACGTTTAATTTTGTATTTACGAGCGATACAGTTTGTATACTATATGCTTATGATGATCCTTATGTATGAAGTACTGTTACTGGAAATTTTTCTATTAATATAATAATTGCTTAGGCATCTTGAAATGTAATTGTTGACTGTAAGTGTAGAAATGTTGAGGGGCTATGCGAGTTTTGGAAAATGTTTTTATTCTAAAAAAGGCACTTAATGAGAAAAATGCATTATTACATTGTTACTTGCGTGACTGACATAGCTGTTGTTTGCCTTGCTACCCTTACTTCTGTCAGTAACTGTACGGTGACGATTATCCAGGTTTATTTACTTTATTTCGTAAACACGACTCTCTAATTTAAATCAAATTTGTCTTATATCAAAATGTAAAACTATACCCTTAAAATGAAAACGAAAGATAACTTCTCTGTAAACACATAGATTAATTGTTTTTTTTAATCTATGGTAAACATAAGTGAATTAAGATAAGTACATCTGTATCAGACACGATTATTTGTTTATGGAAAAATTCAGGTCTTTATTTGTACTGATAGCCGAAACATCATTGTAGTCATTTGTCACGTTCCATAGAAATAACTGAAATTTATTACTAGATAATTTTAGGACTTTAACAACTAGTATAGGGGTTGTAAATTTTAATGTTTGGCTTCATATGTAACTGTTAGCATTCTTGTCAGATTCAGTTTTATTGTTATTGTCACCATTTCACTTAAATTGAAATATTCTCGTAACTTTTTTATTGCGGCTAAGGGTATAAGCACTACAAAGTTCTCTGTACATCAATGAAACGTAGCTTCGGTAATTAATAAATAGGGAACATCGCTGTCTGTCAGATATCAACTTATTAAAATGCGACAAAGGAACCTAGTGTAAACTGTACCAACTCGTAATTTATCTATATGGTAATTATAAATTAGCATAAGTTACTTATAGGTACAATCGATACTATACTTATGATAAGTATAGTATCGATTGTATGGGTACAGACGTTTTCAGGTCGCATCAACAGCCGTCTGTGTGACCTAACGACAGTCGTGATTTATGACTGCCGGTACCGCCAGCTTTACATGCCCTCTCAAGCATGGTGTCAGTTCTGTACCACTCAAAACTGGCAAGTTGTGGGATTCGAACTCACCACCTGTGAGGTTAGAGTCCGAGTCCGTTACCGTTACGCCAAACTGCCTTGTTTTAACCTCCCTCCCTCCGGGAGTTAGTATTTAACCTGTTAATATGATGTGGTGTTTATTTACATACTTCTTACTTTAGTACTTGAGTGAAATTACTAATTCACTTATGCTAAAGCTCAGTTGTACAATGTCCGTTTAAACTTCAGTTTATAGTTAAATTGTGGGTTAAAGGATTTGATTGGATAATATTTCACAAGTTGACCAATTATGTGTCTGAAATCTGTCAGTTAAACTAATTTGACATTGTACAACCGGGCCTTTGTATACCTTTTGCATTAGAGACATTTGGACCTTGGTGCGGGGAAGCCCGTAATTTAGTGGAATGCCTAGCAAAACGAATAACCAATATTACTGGGGAACCTCGAGCTAGAGGAAAAGATGCAAATATGGGCTGGTCTTGTAATATGGGCTAGGTAAGTATCTCAGCTATTCGCTGCAAATCTCTACATCTGACTTATTGCAAACGGTAATTGGTAAAGTTAATTTGTCACCATAGCGATGGCACCACAGTGGTTGACGTTTCACAGATTATAATAAATGCTTGCCGGTTATTGTGAGTGTCAACACTTTTTCGGGTAAGTTTATAAATTCCTGTATTTGAAAATAAACAAAAAGTTCAAAAAAATGTCTGCGTCATGTTGAAGCCCTACAATCAGCCTTTCATGTATGCTAATTAGTTTTCTTCAAATTGACAACTTTTAAAAATAACCTCGTTTGTTGTGTAGAGCCAGCATGTTTACAATATGGCTATGCCTCTGTTTTCATTATGGAATAGTGGCCCATATTAAGATATATGTAAAAGATGCTTGAATTACTTCAGGATGTCATGAAAGATATGCAACGTACGATAATAGCTGTCAGGCGGCACGAGATGGGTACGGGTTCCACGTTCTACGTTGCAACCATGGTACAATAAGGTTGCAACGTTCTGCCAGAAAACTTGAACTACATCCAATTGAAGCTGACCAATTAAAGCTAGGGCGTAAAGCTGTCTTAGGCAATGATCTACAGGACGAGTTAGTAGGTACGTTATATTTTGGAGATGGATGCTAATTTCATGAAGCAGATTGCAGAAGCACCTTTTGCAGACAATAACCATGGTGAGATCTGGGTCGTTTTTCATGTGCAATTTGTGGGCACATAAAGAATGCGCTGGGGTCGAAAAGAAGGATAACTATATTCTAAATCTGGGCTACCCCGAAAAATGAGTGATAAATTTGTGAAAAAAGAGATTAATGGGTGATAAATATATTTTAATATTTAAAATACAAACAATTATTTAAATAACTCAAAAGTAGTGCTTTATGTGTGTGATTTTTCCTAATTAAAAATAATTAAAAACTTGCAAAAATCACACACATAAAGCACTACTTTTGAGTTATTTGATATATTGTTTGTATTTTAAATATTAAAATATATTTATGACGACCCATTAATCTCTTTTTTCACAAATTTATCACTCATTTTTCGGGGCAGCCCATATTTAGGATATAGTTATCCTTAGGTACCTTTGGAATTAAAATAGAATTTTTATTTTTTCTTTTACAAACAAAACTAAAATGGGCAGCCCATATTTGCATCCTTTCCTCAACTACTTACTTACGACAAATGTATTGCCATACAACGTGGCAACGCAACCTGTGTAATGGGGATGCTTCCAACTACGATCCCCATGGAAGAAATTTATTATTTATTATGAATTTAGATATCCATGAACCTAGCAGAACAAGGTCAGC